GCACAAATTGGGGAAATAGGGTTTTGGCTTGAAATATTAAATTTAGATTTCTGACTACCGTGGTCGCAAACCCACTTAAATATTCTTTTACCATTTTAATTTTAACTGAGCAACCGATGCAGTCGATTTGTTGGTCAACTAATACTTTTGACTTTTTATTGTCCGACCGAATCGGTCGCAAAAGTGAAGGCGGGAAATTGGCGCGCTATTTTCACACTACTTTCGTCGGAATAATAGTCTAATTTCTTTTTTGAAAAAATATAATAAAAATTCAGATATGTTTCCGACTACAACAGTCGCAAAAGTAGTCCCAATAGTGACTACTTTATTTTCAGTCGGAAATTTCGGTTACAAATTAATATTTTTTCTAGTAGTGCGACCTCCGCTTCTCATACTTGACCTGCTAGTAGTTCAACCACCACGAGGCACCTCCCGCCATGTCCTCCCTCATATTTTGCTGCCCAAATGTTGCCTCAAATCAAATCCATACTTGTAGCATCATAACTAATGAATTGCTACCAATTCTAAACCTCCTAGAAGATCATCTTTCTCGAGCCATCAACATTAGAAATACCAATTCGATTCTGAAATGCTACACACTGCTATCTCGGACAACCGCTACTCAAGCACCATTTCACAACACCCTGCCCCGAAGGCCCAATCAAAGAAGACCATAACACCGGGGACCCTAATACGTCTGAACAAGGACGATGACACCATATCACAGATGAGAATTCCAGCACGCTAAAAAATATCAAGTCTCATTACTTCATCAACCAAACATGGACATCTATAGTCCAATTGCCTTTCCTCCGCTGGAATTAAACGTTATACCCCTAAATCATGCACTGAGAAATCTTCTCTTCAATTCATTCACTACCTCAACACATAAACGAGCACCCTACCATTACACCAACACTGCGCGATAATAATGCATGAATATCATAACAATATGTGTATAGCCTCAAAACCATAGGCAATACTGATACAAGGCATGGAACGACATAACCCCTTCCACAAGACGACGATAATAACTCGCTCGAGTACGCAGGGAAAAATATCATGTACCACATCTGCATTACCATTACGACTCCTCAATGCCCAATTGATCCCAAGCACTTCACGTTGCATAAGATTGAGTAGGAAGAAAATAAAGGCATAAGCTTTAAAGGAATCAAATTGCACGAAGAGGAATCAAGAAGGGAAGTTCTCCTAAAATCCCTGTAGCCTCTCGATGATAAGTACAGATATCTCCATACCGATCCGCAAGACTCTACTAGACTTGCTCATGACTCGTGAGACCTAAGTGAACCTAATGTTCTGATACCAAGTTGTCACAACCCAAAATCCATTAAAAGTTTTGATGGCGCCTAACATCGCCGTCAGGCAAGCCCACGGTGATTGATCAACTTGTTTACTCATTTTATTACTTTGTAATCATAATTTTCTTTAATTAAATAGTATAAAATAGAATTTATAGGGTAAATCATAATATTTACACAAACTACAATAATGAACGACCCTTAGGAATTCCCAAAACCCCGTATCACAAGTGCATGAGCATCAACTAGGAAATATAACAAAATACAATGTCTGTCTGGAATACGAATTAGATATGAGAATATAAATAATTCTGATGGAGACTCTGCAGGCTACAGATCATAACGTGGAATGCAGTTCACGGTAAAGTCCCTGCAATAGCCGTGCCTTTGCGCCCAAAAGACCACCACACATATATGTACCTGCACAATAAGTGCAGCAAGTGTAGCATGAGTACATAAATCAACGCGTACCCAGTAAGTATCTAGCCTATCCCCGGAGAAGTAGTGACGAGGGGTCGACATCGATACTTACTAGAGGTCCAATAAAGTAATATGATAAATCATAAGCAGATATGAGGTACACAACAATAATGGGTAATCTGTAAGTTATATAATCTTCCAAATATTTTTTTTAAGGTACGGATTTCTCAATTGTAACGACTCGACCGGTTGTTTTGAGAATTTAAGCCCCATTCGGGATCTTGAGCAGCTTCATATTATGAGTATTGACTTGTGTGCGTGGTCGAATTCAGTTAGTGAATGATTCGAAGTCAAATCGGAAGAAGGATTCATGTTTTGGAAGCATAAGCGGTAAGGGTTGATCGAAATTTGACTTTTGAGTAAACGACTCAGGAATGGGCTTTGGATGATTTCTACAGCTTCGTATGGTAATTTTGGACTTAGGCGTGCATCCGGATTTGGATTTGGAGGTCCGTAGGGTAATTTGGAACATTAGGGAAAGTTTTGAAGGTTGAGAGGTTTGACCAAGAGTTGGCTTTGGCGATATCGGGGTCGGAATGCGATTCCGAGATCTGGAATAGCCTGCAAAATTTGACGTCATTCCGGGTTGATTTGATAGGTTTCAGCACGGGTTTTAGAAGTTGGATGATTTGAAAGTTCATAAGTTCGATTCTTAGTGCGATTCGTAGTTTCGACGTTGTTTGATGTGATTTGAGACCTCGAGCGAGTCCATGTTAGGTTATGGGACTTGTTAGTATGTTTAGACGGGGTCCCGAGGGCCTCGGGTGAGTTTCGGATGGGCTACGTGCCATTTCTTTCTATTTTTGAACTGCTATTTTCTGTCATCTCGTTTCCTTCATCGCGTTCGCATAGTGTTATTTTGGAGGATGAAATGTTTCTTCTTCGCGTTCGCATCCTTCCTCTCGCGTTCACGGAGTTCTGCGTTCCCCTTCTTCGCATTCACAGTTGTTCCCTCGCGTCCGCGTAGTAGAAAATAGGAGCTGGGCACTGGATACTTTTTCCTCTTCGCGTTCGAGTCTCTCTTCCCACATTCGCGAAGGTATGCCACCCCATCCTTCGCGTTAGCGCACCCCTTCACGCGTTCGTGTAGCCCAGTCATTGGGCCATCAAATTTTCCTCTCCGCGTAACGCGACCCATCTTTCGCGTTCACGAAGCATATCTGGGCAGCCTTCATTTTTCCTTCTTCGCGAACGCGAGTAGTCTTCCGCGTTGACGATGCATAATCACCTGGGCAGCAGAATATATTTTCCAAATCGAGGGTTAGGCCATTTTTTATCATATCTTAACTTGTGGAGCTCAGTTTTGAGCGATTCTTTGTGGGTTTTTCAA